AACCCTTAAGGCACAAGACACAAACATGAGATTGGCCATAACTCCAATGGAGATGTTAGCTATTACATTAAGGTGAGTAAACACAAAGAAACAAAGGTATGCTAATAGATTTATTAATAACTACTGCCTCTCATACAAATCAAAATCACACTGTGACGTTGAATTGTGAGATTGGGATGGTGGAGATGGGAATTGATCGTAGGCTGGTAAAGGTACAGGGGAAACCTGAGGTGTCGAGTTGACTGAGGGATAAGGTGATATGCGAGATGTAGAAGGGTATGGGGGATAGGAAGCAGCTTCCGTAGAGGTCTACAGGGGGGTAATTGGATGATAAGTTGAAGATTGAGTGGCAGGTTGAAAGTAACCCCTCTGAGGTGGTCGGGAAAGTAAAGGGGCAGCAGGCAGTGCCCGCACACGTCGGACGATGTTTAGGACCTCCATTCTGAAATCAAGTTTTTGGTCCGGAGTAAATTCTCGCACCATCGGCAACAGAGAATTGAAAAAGTGGAGGTCGTCATCGTCTGGCGTTGCGGCTAGTGTGGGTGCGGGACGCTGTTGCATGAATGCCATTAGGGCATCTTCAAATTGCCGTTTCCGCGACGGTACCACACGTGTAGGTTGGCGTTTGGACGGGTTATCTTCCCTTTCGGGGCCAGGAACTGTTAGATTATATCTGTGGTTTATGCAGCGACATCTGTCCGATGTACTTAAACTGCTGTACTGGTGTTAATAAAATGTGCGATTACTTCCTTGTGAACTCGCAACAAGTAAACGTCGTTGTCGTTTTAATAGGAACCTCAGCATCGGCGTGGGGTTCTTCGTCGATAGCTTCGGCACCTTCTTCATCAATTTGTGACCTACCTTCAGTTGTTATATTTTGTTAATTCGGTGTCAATATCCACTTCTGCCATTGTGATTTTATACCGCAAAGCACGTCGTCAAATGGTCGTGTGTACCTAAAGATATGCGCCCATGTACTAATTTACCGCACGACGACGCACAGCGCGGCACCGTTTGTAGCAGTCACCGCAGGTAGGAATGTAGTCGCTGCGTCACCGTCGGACGACGTCAACGCTCATGTGAACTGCTTCAATGTAGCCAATGTATTTGTGGAACGTTCGTATTTTAACGGTGCGGTGCACCGACACTTATACGCCTGTTACGTTGGTGTTTAAGAGAGTGTTTAAAACTTTAAAACTAAGAGAGTGTTTAAAACTTCGAAGAAAAAGATACCTTTAATATTCGAGAACACGGCGGTCAATTTGATTTGAACATCAATAAAATAATAAATGTGATTATTTTAAAAGATTTTAATGTTACTATCATAATCCACTCCCTGGGGATTCGAGGGTGAATTTGTTGGGAGAATCGGATGTCCGCCTCCAAACCATTCAACTTTTCATTTAGAAAAATGTTGGATTGCGTGCACTTATTTCGAGATATTCCCCTGAAAGATTAATGGGTATTGTATTCTTCATTGTACAATTGCAGGTAAATAGTTCTTGATACGCTTACCTCTATCCTTTTCCGTAAAACTAAAGGGCCTGCCGAAGTATCTTTTAATTAATTTACGGATTTTGTTGGAATAATTTCCCGTAAGATGATTTTTACATTCAATTTTTTGGACTCTTAACGTTTTCATATGGATGCGTGTCTAGAATTCGCCTATAACAGTTGCTGTCACCATCAGCAATTAATTTTTCATAAATTATGCCGTACATTGCCAAGAATTCTAATAAACCTAAACTCGATCCTAAATCTAAGAAATAGTAAACCGGCTATATGTAACTTGGCAAATTATTTAATTGTTCGTTTATAGTTCAACAAGCAAATATTTTCGTCGGCTCCCTTGATATTCTGCAAGTAACACTATGGGGTCTCTGGTTCAAATCCGGGTACCGACAGAGTTGTTTTGTTTTATATTGAGTGACTCCCAGTCATTTACAAATAAAGAGGAAAAATACAATAAACACATGTTCTATTTAAGCTACATGAAGTAACAAAAAGAAAAAGAAATCCATATCGCCAACGGAACAAAAACTTTCTCTCTGAATCAGCTTAACATTTTTAGAAGTACATAAAGAGATATATGTATATTAATATAAAATAAATAAATGTTAATGATATGAAATAATATCACGAAAATTTATCAAGGTAAAGAGATATATACTACCATTGTTTAAAGCATTTAAGCATGAGGTAACTATCTAAATATCGACGGGTAATGATACCCACCTCATCAGATGTTAGGTAAGTAAAACTCAACCTTGTTTCAATAAATGTAAAAAATATGCTAATGCCTAAAACCAGATGCTGCATACGTACATTAACAAGCAATTACGCAAAAATTGCTGCAACCGTAATAAATTATTCATTAACAAGTAAGATTATACAGGTTATCTTGAGGAGTACAGAACCTTGAATTCTAGAAAATAAACATCTAAAAAGATAATAATAAACATTTTATTTTTTATTATATTTTCGTATTCATGTCATATATTTCACTTTAATCTTCATCATCTATTATAGGCGGCGTCCATTGTGGCTCGATCTCTTTCTCTGTGGTTACAGCTTCAGTTTCTGTTATCTAGATAGATAAGATACTTTGGGGGTGGTTGCGTGTAATAAAAGTTTATTTACATAGATATATGCAAGTTACGACTTTACTACTACTGCTAATCATTCCCGAAGAGTCGTTGCATTACAGACTTTCGATAGCGGTCGCCTACTATATGGCGGCGCGGGTCGGACAATTCCCCACGTCACTTTACCACCATATCAACAAAATAAAAAATCATAATTTCAAAGTGCAATACTCTTTATTGGTTTAAAAGTACAATCAATCAATGCGATTTTTGACATATTGTTTATTTTTGAAGAGTGTGTCGATATTTGTGTTTATTTTTGTAGTTGCAACCCGCAGATTACCTCCCAGATGTGCATCTGTAACTCTCGACCTTGTTTTGGACACATTTTCCATACGAGAAAACAGCTGCTCGCACACATATGTGCTCCCAAACAGAGAAATCATTTTCTGAGCATGTTTTCGAATTTCAAGAAACAAGTTTTGATCGACATATTTGGCATAAAATCAAGACCTTTTAGTGATGATGAATTTATCAGCCAATGTATGGAGAATGCCGCTGAAGTATTCTGCTCGTCGCAAAAGAACTTTTTTCTAAAGTTAGTTTGCCCGGTGTTACAGTCGCTAGAAGAATCAAAGAATTAGCCGTAGACTTAGAAAACTTACGTGCATCGAAGTTCGTATACTATTCTGTTCCGCTCGACGAAAGCACAGATTTAACTGATACCGCCCAATTAGCTATAAGTATTTATTCGGGGCATTGTAATGTTGTCACTTATAATATATTTGTATTTTACCGAGTAAATTTGGGTTGTTAAGGTAATGAAAATCTGTTGCCTAGCAATTAGACGAGAGAAAAACTGTCAACTAATAAAAATGCGACACCGCTAAACTAATCAATTATTGACGGACGTCAAACTAGTCATATGGGAAACGATAATGCGATAATTGGTTCGAAAATGAATAAGTGAAAAAACCTCTAGTGCATTTGTCGCTGGAAAAGTTGCAGGTAACTTTTGCCGCTGTCAAGGTGACAATTGCACTGCGGCTTATGCGATTTTTTATACAAGAGTTGAATTGTCATCAATAATAGTACCCAGACTCCTCCAAAACTATAAAACCCAATAAACAAATAACTATTCACAAGAGTAAAACAGTACTTTGGCAGATGACTTTATACCAACCCCTAGAAAGGTAATGATAAGTACAGGCGCACATATAACGGGAATATGGAGACACTAGAAATTTTCAACCTAGAGGGCGTCCATTTACTCCTTGTCTATGGTTACGGGTTAAATAAAAGGACTTTACAGACAGGACTACAGATTTGTAAGCAAATTTAAACAGTTTCTTGTCTCCCTTGGTTGAATGTGTTCGCTTTTCCAAAACTACCCGAAAGAATCTTCTGTTAGAATTTGTCTCAAGTTAGTAAAGTTTCTTGTGGAACTTCTCCTATTGGATTGAATTTACCTTCAATTGCAATTCGAAATCTGATCCTAATAAGTGTCGGTTAAGTGCGAAATAAATTGTAATTTATATTTTAATACCAAAGACTCTCGATCTGGAATCTCTTTCAACAGCAATCTCCAGACCTGGTTCCAAACCCTGTTTCTCTTTTACATGCTTTCCCATCCGTAGAGAACCACTGCCTTCCGATCGGTTGGCCCAGAGCGATAAGTTCCATTTCACCCTATAGCCAGACCGAGTTTGCGACGACTCCATCAATGAAACTTTCAATTGAAATTCTATTTCCATATTGTAAACTTGTCAGCAAGAAGAATTACAAAAAAACGTTCATTTTAATGATAAAAGTAAACAACTCTTTGAAGATGAAGATGAACATTTTGAGAAATGAGTTTCAATGCTGCCGTTAAAAGATGTAGAGGGCATTAACCCCTATTGTAAAGTCTTTTGTCATGTTTCTAACAACTAACGTTCCACTGCTACTTCCAAAAATAATAAATCTTGTTCGTTGTTCTACTCAAATTCAGTTTCAAGATTGTTCAATCGACTTTGGGTACGTTCCACTTAGCGCCCGCACTAATTTCGTCAGCGACCGCTCTTTTATGCGTTCCACAATCAAAAAGCGTTGTGGTCGAAGTTTTCAAGTGGAACAGGTTTTGGAGGTTTTAGGTTTCAAGATGGCCGCTGTTGTTGGCATAATTATTCGTCGGCGACGGATATCATCAAGTTCCAGTTCAAGTCTGGATGATGAAGAATTTTTTCAACAAAGAAAGAAGCGGAAACTTCGCCCGCGAATTACGGATTATGCAGATGTCGTTGGCCGTTATGCAGACAACGAATTTAAAAGTCATTTTAGGTGAGCAATTTGCCAAGCATTCTGTTTGATTAAATAATAAATTAAAAGCTATTTATAGGAGTATTGTATTTCTAGAATGTCAAAATCAACGTTTGAATACCTAGTAAATATTATAATATAAATATATAAATAATAAACAAAACTGTGACTTCATCAATAATATAAAATAGAATTTATTATTTATTTGCTAGCTTTTCCAAAACTGCTAAAAACTTGTGATCCATTTCTAACCTCTCCTTATGTCGCTTTGCTCTTGCTTCCTCATGCTCGTCCTTTTGTCTTAATCTTTTGGCCATAAGCACATTGGTACTTGGTTTCGATGTTGATGGGGCTATAAGATATAATATACATATTAGGTATAAATAGTTAAACAACAATTTGAAAGACGTGTACGTAAGAACAGTTAAGTAGATAAATTATGTTGTAATTGTAAATAAGGTGATCATTGGTACTTTTGAACTCACCACTGGTATTATCCTGTGGTTTGACATCTGTATCTGAGGAGGACGCAACCGCAACCGGATTGCACCATGCACGCTTCGAAAATATTTCATCCATAAGCTGCAAAAAAGTTGAGTTTAAAGAAAAATTACCTATAGGTATACGTACGTCAAAAAATTTCCAAGTTCTCTTGTCGTTGCCAGATTTCGCATTGTGATCTTTTATGGATTTATACGTTTTTTTTAAACTTCTCAGTTTTGCGGCACACTGCATTCCAGTTACATTATTATTTAAAATCTCTGCAACCTTGTCCCATACTTTTTTTTGCGGTTGCCTGCCATCGGTAAATTGGGATTCATATGACCGATATGTCTCCAATAACAGTAAAATTGATGGCGTTGTCCATCTATATAATGAACCTGAAAAATCGAAGAAATTAATGTCTAGAAATGTTGGTTGTTATGAATACTAGAAGTTATGCCTATAGGAGACTTGCTACGTTAGTGATGGTAATTGTTAACATGGTTCCGCAACATACCTCCGTCACCCCGATCTACGTCTTCAGGGGATACAATGGATTCTTCTTCAGGGGATACAATCGATTCTTCTTCCGCAGCGGTTTCCGATAATCCTGCGTTTAACAGCTTTGCAGCAAACTGCATATCTGAAAATATATATAAACAATTTGCTCAATTTTTAGAAACTTACCATTTTGTGCACGCTCCGCATCCTCCGCAGATACAATTAATTCTACCAACTGGCCGTCATGATATAAACTTAGGGTAGTCATTTTGGTGAAAGGAAACTAAGGCAAAACATTTAACATAACCTAACAAAAACCAAACGACCACTCTGACCCACCTCTGTTTTACGCGCGAAGCGGGCTTTGCGGTCGACTATTAATGACGTCAACTATGACGTTTTCGACATCGACCACAACATTTGTGGCGTCAAGTGGAACGAAATTTGGGACGTTGCAATCGTCGCAGTCTTTAAGTGGAACGTACCCTTTCTGTCACCTATGGATGCACTGCTACTTACTCGCTGCAAGCTTTCCTTTACATTTATGTAAAGTGGTGGCGGAATAGGAAACATCAAATACGGAGATACCACTTCCTGTTGGGTCCGGCGTCCCTCGGACGGATCCACACGTGGCCTCTGTTATCGCTGCGACTCTGAAACAACGTGGACATTTCCTTCCTGCCTCCTCCTGCTGGCCGAGAAACCTCAGGGCACCACCCAAATCGTTGGTCGAAGCCAAGGGCCACAGAGATCTTATAGAGCTCGAGAACTGGCGCATCACATCCTCTACCAGCGTCTTCTCGGGACTTGACGGTATCACTGCTCGTAGCTTGGTGAACTGTTTAAAAAATACTCGAACATGGACCTCCCCATGGAGAATATTCCTGTGCCAAAAACTTCACCCGCTGTGCATGTTGGCGATCCTCAGATCAATACTGCTCCAAGAAATCTCTCCTAAAATCCGCAAAAGTTGCCCATGCTCGCTCGCGAATCCCCATCCACTCTAACGCACTTGTCTCCAAACATCCTCGAACCACATCTAACTTTTCCTCCGGGGCACTTAAACTGATCCAGGAATAACATGGGCTTATGCCGGTCGGAACTGAAATGGGGTCTCTTCATAGTGGGAATTGGAGCAGGTCGTCTCGCCAGGGTCTTAGCCATGACCTTCCAGTCAGGATCCGCACAACTCGACTCCCTTTTTCTACGTAATCCCTTATAAAATGATGTTTAATATCTATATGTTTTGAGCGCTTGCATTCCAATGCAGCCTCTGTTGTCCTCATAAATGATCACACCTTCTTTTATAATTATATCCAAATCCTCCAATATTCCCTCTATCCAGATAGCTTCTCCGTGGGACAGTGTTCGACTCGGACAGGGTAGGGGTTGGACAGATAAGATTGGTCGAAATAGACTCACCGCTCGCTGTCGATGATGGTTTTGGTTTCGGGTCCTTCCTGGGCTGGTTTCGTTCCAAAGGATCCAGAAGGCGTTGATTGACGGCCCCCTGAGTCCTCATGAACGTCTCCAGCTTTTGGTCTGCTTATTCATCCACTCCCCTCAGTAGTACAAACTCCACCTCCAGTGGACCGAAGTCAAACAATTGGCCGTCCTCCCCAGGTACTTCCTCTCGCGATAGTGACGTCTCCTCGTTACCTATAAGTACAACACACAGCAGTATGTCTGATATAAACGAAGATAAGATTAGTATTAAAATCGACAAACACACAACTAAAGCAAGTAACCTGTTGCCACATTGCCTTCAGAACCTGTATCCTGGTCACCAGAGGTGGGTAAAATGCATTTAAATAAGTATTTAAAATGGAAAATACAAAATGTATTCAGATATTGTATTTAAAATGTAAAATGCAAAATGGTTTTTGTACATTTATTTAAAATAGAAAATAGGTATTTGAAATAACATTTCGAATACAAAATGGTTTTACAATTTATTTATTTGCAATAAAATTTACATTAGCTTTAATTATTAAAAGTTTTTCAAATGTATCATCATTCATACATCGACGTTTTGGTCGCATGATCATCCCTGCGTATGAAAACAGCCTTTCAACAGGAGCCGATGACGGAAGTGGTGTGTTGTATTTTATAAATAACTTTTTGATGTTAGGAAATTGATCCAACATTGACAAATTTGTAAGTGGACTCTGAAGATATTGAAGGGCTTCAAGCTGTAACCCATTATTTAAATCTGAAGAGCCAGGGCTATCTGTAGAAGAATCGTCGAACAAAAAAATATGAGTACACATTACCGATTACTTACCTTTAAATGGGTTCGAAAGTTTGTAGTAGCATTGATTTGCCCTTTAATAAGTTTATTGCATTTGGAGCATTTTGCTGTAACCCCCCCGTTTCATTTTCAATATGTATTATTTTAAAAAACTTTCCATCTAATATCAACGGTAATGGCGTACGGTCGTTACTACTAGAGCCCTGGTCATTAGTTTCTTTTTCCTCTGCAGATATCTTATCCTCCTGACCACTGGACATGATTTGTACACAGATTATGTGTATTTTTAAACCACTAATTAACTAAGAAATATAGTCAAAATAAACGTATAATACTTGAATTTGAAGGAAATTTCTAAATTTTTTTATATACCGTTAAAAAAACGCGTGCGTAAACCACAGAAATCACGTAAACAAGCAAGCCAAGCACGTTTTGTGCAAGGAAGCGTTTTGATGCACTTCTTTACCACAGATCACCATTTTTAGTTTCTTTCCACAGATCACATTTGCAGGTAAACCAGAAAAACTTTGAATCGAATCTATACTACGTTATTTTAAATAGAAAATAGTTATACTGATTTATTTAAAATAGAAAATAGAAAAGATTTTATCTACAGTATTTAAAATACAAAATATGAAATGGCATTTTCTATTTTAAATACGTATTTCAAATAAATTCATTCGAAATAGGTACCTCTGCGGCACCAAAATCTGTTATGATCTTAGCCTCCTATCTTAGCGGGCAACACCAACTTCAAGTCTCGCCGGAATATTTGACCATATTCTGTAGTAGCGGGAACACCAAATTAACATGGCTGCCTATATATTCTCGCTTAAGTTTCCCGCGAGAATCTGTCACTCGGTGGCCACTCCGATTGCACCAAGATCGTGATCGTCATGTAGGACACCTTACCTTACCTTGTGTAGTAACTGAGTTCTATGCAGGCACTGAAGGCGTTTTATGGGTAAGGAACATCAAAAGCAATGGCTGATTAAGATTATATTGAAGCTAATACCAAGTTAGATTACAGAGTGACCCGCATAATGCTTTTTAGCGGTGCCCCTGCAGAAGGTCTTAAATTGTTCTATATCACTCCGGCATTTACCTTACGAATTAGGAAAACTTAATTCGGAGTAGCCCTATAATGAAGAAAGCATACAGCTAACACCTCATGCACAGCATTTTCGCGCCTTCTCGAGTAAAACTCTTTAACACGAGTAAATATTATAGACATGCTATGAGTAACCAAAATGGAATCGAACCATTCCGCAGGTATTACAACACATATATCAGACAAAACTAAGAGATATTAAATGTGCCTCGCCGGACGGTAGGATTACCCAGACCCAGTGGGGTGCCTGTAGACGTGGGCTAGAGTTGCTTTGGTTTCGGAACGAGTGAAAATGTTAGTGTCTGGTTCACCAAGGCCCATATAAACTTGAATAACTTGATCCCCTCTAAACAAACACACTTCCCTCTCGGTTACTCACCAGCACAATAAACAAATATAATAACATGCAATGAAATAATTGAACCAATGCCAAAGAGGTTCGAGAGTGACTAAAAACCACGATACACAAATAGCGGGACACATGCAAAATATGTACAATACGGATACAGCCCTACCGACATACATGAAACATAATTGTCAACACTAACAAAGGTTACACATCATACAAGAGGTTGATACAGAATTAAGTGACATCAGTAAGCACATGGGTAAAGGGTTAGAATCTGCATTTATGTTAGACACATTCAGAGATTACTAAAATTACCTGATACAAAAAACAAAAGCACACAGCAATGATTAAGGTATAACAAAAATATTTCCAGATAAGCCGTACCTACTTTACACTTAAGCCGGTTACAAGAAAAAGACCCGGAACACACATGATACATCGTATTTATTAACTACCCCAAGCGACGCGGTCACTTGATCCCTTAACAACCCTGAAAACCGCCCATCCCCTGCACGCATTTCTAGGAAGACTCTCGAGGGCAGGTGTTGGTAATGCCAAACACATGCGTTCTTCCGAGAATTTACATCCGTCTCCTTTTTCCCTTTTCTGCAATCCCACCGGATTTCGGTTGGCAGCTTTTGTAACTAACATGATGTATAGGGTGCTTCGTATCGACAATCTAATTCACAGGATGTTGCTAAGGTTGGGGCATCTCAGTACTATAGTAGGTGGAAGCCAACTCTTAGGGAAACATTTTCTAATATCTTCTGAAGCATTGATTGGCGAATTTAATAAACTGCAAAACGCGTGAGAAAAATTAGAATGACATACATGGACATCCTTCACTAACAAATTTTTATTTTATAGCATATGTTACATTGGCATTTTAATAGGTTTGAATGAGTAGGCTAAGCCGTTATTTAACCGTAAGGATAGATAAAGCGATCACTTTAACCGTAATTCAGTGCAGTTGACACAATCATTGTTCTTTACTGACACTTCGACATGAATATTGTTTTTCCTTAACGCGGATATGTTTTCCATCGATGGAGCCAATACAATTGGGTAGATTCCACAGTTGGAAGTAGCGCTCTGAGGAACTCATGACGACTGATCAAAACAACTGCTCCGTTGCGTATCCTAGAGGCTATCGTATCGCTCCAGTGTGCCCTGGAGTGTTGCGAGGATACAAGTTGCATCGGGAGATAAAAGATTGCTCATGTTGCATCGCTTATCGCATCGCTTCATTGGGAAAGGAATTAATTTCTACTACCAACCATAGCCCTCCTCCTCGACCTCTTATCGTGATCCGGTATTTTCCCTTATACCTCAAGAACGGATTGTCGGAAGAGGGTACTCTGAGACGTCTGCAAGAAATATATCCATTGGTGATGTCAAAACAAAAGCTATTTCGGTTAAAAAAAATGCGTTTTATCTGCACAAGAGTTGTGCACAATTTATACTTGTTTGTCAATGTCTCCATCTTACTAATCTTTTTTCCGGATAATTCACAATAAACAAGCCCCACTGTGATAAATCGTAGAGACCTTGTTTTTTGAATTTAAGAAATCCGTTTGAGCAATAATGCTAATCTGAGTAAAGGGCAACATTTTGATAATTGGAGAGTTGGATTTAGTGATACAGGGTTTTGTTCTTTTCTGTCTCTTAACCTAGTAATTTTAGATTATTCAATATTTTTCACGAAAATACTTACCTATTAATTAATTATGCACAGGAGTAGGCAGTGATAATAAAAAAAGTAAACAACTGTCAATTTGGAAATGCGATAATTGTAGGGTAGCATTAAAAAATAAAAAAGAACAGTGATTTTTATGAAAAGATAAACTATGAAAAGAAATGTAACAATTTTTTTCAATACTACTTAGATTCATTGAATTGCCAAATTGACACTTGTTTGCTTTCTGACATTCTGTTATTATTTATTTTCACGGCCTACTCCGGCAAATAAGCATGGAATTAATTAATGGCTAGGTATTTCTCTGAAAAATATTGAATAACTTGGTTTAGACACAGACACAGGACATCTCGTATAAAAATTGAAGAGAAACAAGAACTATCGAATGGCGAAGTAAAATAGTGTGTAGCTCTATTTGAAAAAAAGGTATGGCAATTCAGAATTCAAAATTACCATTTCCTTATGAGCACCCTGTATAACTAAATTCAACTTTCTCATTATCAAAATGTTACCCTTTACTTGGATTATCATTCTCTTCATACTCAAAGGTATTTTTTAACTTCAAAAAACAAGGTCGCTACGATTTATCAAACTAGGGCTTGCTTATGGAAAATTATTCGGAAAAAAATTAATAAGATGGCAACATTTAACAAAAAATCAAAAAGTAAATAATAATAAACAGCTAGAACTTTTACACACTACTTGCACATCTTACAACTTCCGAATTACCTGCACACCAACATGCAAAAGTACTATTGAAAACGCTAACATCGTTACAAGGTTCCTTAACCAATGACAAACCACCCTGCATGACGATTGGGGTCATGACCCGTCTCCTGTACCATAACGATTATAAGTGTGAAGATAAACAAATAATAAAAATAATAAGTAACGCGACATACACTACAATGATAAGTCCACCCAATAGTTACACGTCCTAGCACGGTTAAAAAACCCAAAACTCTTTTTTCTCAGAAACATACCACAGTATCACAACCCATTCGTATTCAACCCAAATGCAAAGCCAAACAAACACACAATAAACAACGCCACTTAATTAAATTGCTCAACTTGTAGAAAATGTGGGTGCTTTATTTTATTTTATTTTTTTTTAATTTTTTTTTCTCTACTATCATTTATAAAAGTATAAAATTTAGGATTCGACAAAACTTGACTAGACGAACGACATACAGACAAACACTAATCGTTACTTGATTTTAATCCGTGCGATTAGTTAACCAGGCTAGACTACGTAACAATAGTACGTCTTATCGTGTCTGTTACTGGAGTTACCACTTTCAGCTAAATATGGTGGAACCTGATCTGTAATAATTTTATGGTATAATAAAATAGCGTTTAATGTAGACGCTAACATATGCCATTGAAATAACTAAAAATATACAGGGCGTTTTATTAAAAAAAAATTCACAGTAAAAAAAGGAATTATTTCTTAGGGCATCAAGAGGCAAGAGTCTACTTGATGTGACAAACGTTCTCTAGCAATCAAACTGTTTCTAAATTTCATTTGCATT